GTGAAGAGGCGGGGGTGGGAGCCACTCCCAACCTGGAGGACCATGCTGCAGGAGATGCCACTCAAGGTCAGTGAATACCCCTCACTGGGTCCAGTTATTGCTGCCCACACGTGCGGCTGGTCGCCAGTGGCTTTTCTTGCTAGTGGGAATTTTCTTCTGCAATGCAAATGCTCTGCCCTGTACAAGCAGTGGTGCAGTTCTTCCTGTTCCTGATGGGAGGATTGTACATGCTTTGAATGTTCCAACATGCTTATTTCGGGGAACTACAGCTTTTCATGCACAAAATACCTCTCTCAGATGGTTGAAGCCCTGGTGCTTGTTTGTCCGGTTGCAAAACGGGGCATCTGCCAGGCTAGAAAAGGCAATACAGGGATGGTGCAGTTGGCCAGGAGGAACTGCCCAGCATTGAACAAAGCCAGTTTCGGGCCCTGCATGTCACACATGAAATAAGTGAATTGTTTAATTACTGTGTCTCTTTCTAATGTAAAACACATCTCAAACCTACTCACTGATGCCCTGACTTTAATGTTTACGGGTGGTTTTTTTTCTCATCCCAGACTTAGGAATGTGACTGATAAAGCCAGGCACGGTAGTCAACGAGCGTTTTTAGAGCATTAATTGTGCATCTGCTCAGATGAGCCAGTAAATTATCCAGGGACCTCTTAGCTATCTGGAAAATCTCTCTTGACTCTGCTCAGTTCAGACTTGATGGAAAACTTGAAGATGGGATTTTCCCAAGGCAGCCAGTGCTACCTTAATTCTGTGCCCCATGGGGCAGACTTAGGGGTTCAAACTCCCTCTGATATTGCTGTCTGGCTAGCACTTATACACCATAGCGCTAATTTGGTGCGCTGTTTAAAATCTTAGTTAAACCCCATGTTGTAAGGCGGTTTTCTGCGCAGTAGACATAACAAATACCTCCAGCTGCTTGGGCAGCATCTTTCCTCCTCATGACTGCGTTAGTGCATTTACAGACATCCATGTCTTTTGAAGAAGTAAATAGGTCTTCGCCTTCTCAGCCCAGGGCAGAATTCAGGTCATCTTTGCTTTCTGCACACAGATGAGCACGGTTATGTGCAGTCTGCTCCCTGCAATCAAAACAAAACCTTTGCTTATCTGTCCAGTGGTTCTTGGACTATCAACTCTTTCATATTTAAAATAGTGGTGCTACTACAAAAAAGAAATCAAGATTGTTAGCAGGAGGGGGTGAAGTTCTTGCTTCTGTCTGCCCTGTTCTGTCTGGTTCTAGCTGCTGTTTCTCACTGGATTTTTAGTAAGACCTTTCTGTACTGTCCTGGGATCTTCTAGCTGTCAGATATGGGGACATACAGCTACCTGGAGCTCTGATATAACCTATATTTGACATTTCTAGGTTCTTGTGTAAATTGTAACTTCACTGAAAGTGGACTCGTAATAATGTGCTGCTTCCTTTTAATGGTTCTTTTTGATTCAGAGGAAAATGTGATTATCCATACACACAGTCTTGGATAGCTCGTTACTAGCTACCTTCATTTTTCATGTTGTGGGATTTAAAAAAATGATCTTTGCGGTGAAGATGGGGCATGTTAAAATGCTTTTGGAGTCTCAGGTGGAGAAGCATCTTCCGATTCACAGTTTGTGCCATGCTGGCATTCTGACAGCTCTTGCCCTTGTGTTGCACGTTTGCCTCAGAGCCCCTGGCAGGTCCTGGTGCATGGAAGTACAGCTGACGAACTGGCTGTCCACATCTCCACACTGGCAGTTGTTAATGGTCGTGGTGTTCATTTGCAGAAGTGAGCCAGGGTGGTCTGCTGGCTACTGCATGAACGCCCTTCAAATCCCTGTGGTTATAAAAGGTGTTTCTTGATGCCACATTTCAAATCTTACCTGCCAATAGATGCCAATTTAGGATTTCTCTTAAACCACAGTTTCGGAGGTCTTTGTGTGGTAGTTTCACTTAAACCATTATATTCTCTTAAAATGGGGAGAACATTGGCAGCAGAACGAGTCAGCCTTGACTACTTCTGTTGTTTTAATCGTGTTTGTTAACCTCAACAAAGCAACAGTTGAAATCTCAGTACTGAAGTGCTCTGATCTAGGTTCTTTAGTTTGCCTGACCAGTGCGCAAAAAGAAGGAAGAGTATTTGAAGCTGGACAAATTCATAGTGCAAGGTGCACATTCTTACTGGGGCGATTGACTTTAAAGCTGTTTACTTATGTTCAGGGTGAATTCTCCATTGCTCAGTGCTTCTGTGCTTCAGTTGAATGAATTTCTAACAGAAAAGCCCCAGCTCAACTAGCGTATATGGCTTAGTGCAGCAATTTCTGGGTGAAATTTACTGTAAAAGTCTGTGTCAGGCATGAGATCAGCGATAGGACAGAATTCTCTTTTACCCCCGCCCCCCCCCCCCCAAAAAAAAAGCAGTATCTGTGTCTCTGTGACCTTAAGTTTGGGTTTATAAATGTCACACTTTCTACTCTGCCCAGATAGTGGCAGCAGCGCTGGAGCTCTGATTAGCCTGAGTGGATGCCCAAAATTGCTGTGGCCATGTGGCTACAGCCACATTTTTACTTGTAGTCCTTTCCATTGAGGCTGTCTGCTGCACTGGCTGTTGAAATACACAGCAGCAGGAGACGAGACACAGGAGTGCTCTTCCCCAAGCTCATTAGCAATAGAAACAATCTGGAGAACGGAACAGAGATGGTTTAAGCTCTGAGAGGATGGAACTGGTGCCGTGTCTACATGAACATCTCCTGCAAGGGTGGAGAGGACTGTAAGGATTTTGTAAACCCATGTGTCTGGCCTGTTTTGTTCAAGCCCTTGACACAAGTGAAGGTGGTCACTGACCAGCACTGATGGTCCAGTGGTGAGATGAGAAAACGGTTATGTTCTCGGCTTCTGAAAACCTCTGTAGCTAAATGAGCTCATCGAGCGTGGGCATGGATACCCCAGGCACCTCCGAGACCAGGTCCAGGGAGGAGTCTGATCTCCCATGTGCTGTGGCTGTCACTGTTCTGATTCACATGGGGATCAGAGTTTCTGTAAAGGCAAAAGCCACTGTAGCAGTGAGTTGTCTGAATGGGGCAGTGTGGGACTTGCTTTTATCCCCTGCATTGATAGCAGAAATCCTTAGTCTCTCTTCTTCATTATATGACTGACTACATGTTTGACATGCCTGTGCTAATTGTTTGCCCATGCTTCATACCCTGCGTCTTCAACTCCAGGGGAGCCAAGCTCTCCAAAGCTACAGCCTGGCACTCAGGAGCGTGTGGGAGATGCAATAAAAAGAGAAAGCCAGCCCACAAAGCAGGCAGCCGGGCTTCTTCAGCAGCCTCTTCTGTCACATGAAGCAAAGGCTACAACAGTAGCTCCCACCAGAATCGAGGTGACTATCCCAATACCTCTGGATATGTACCAAGACTCCAGAGGATCTGAAGACAAGAATGAGTTGTGGGATCATCGAGGCAGAGAAGGCATTGGTGTGGATCCAGCGCTGGGAACAGAGCTAGGTTGTGATGTGCGCACTGCGGGGTTGGCAGGAGCAGCTGGCACAGGTGACTCCCATATTAAAGATGGGCCATCTCCTTTATATACCAGAGCTCCATTAAAAGAAGATGCCAGTGGTCAGGAAAGAGATGAGGACCGTGATATTGATGAAACTTCTGAACAGGATTTGCTTTCCCTGGTGGGACACCATGTTTCACCAGGACCTGGAATGGACTTGTGTCCAGCAACAGCCAAGGAAGCTCTTGAAGAAAGTGCCTCTGAAGAAAAAAAGTCCAAAGATGTCCTCAGAGACGTACCAAGAGAGGCACTTCTTGTTGAAACTGAATTGCATAAAGCAGGAGGGGACCAAGAGGATAGGAGACAGCCATTGAGCGGGGAAGAAGACACAGATGTCACCCCATCAGAGCCTTCTGAAATCATCTCCCAAAAAGAAGCAGAGCCCAGGGAGGAAGAAGATTCTGCGCCCTTGCTAGAAACAGCCAAGCTCCCCATTGCGTTAAAAGATGATGTGGAAGACAAAAATGCTGCTTTGGAAGAGCCTGTGCCAGACAGAGGAGAACACCAGATGCCCAAGAAGAAACCTTGTGCCCATGTTGCAGATAAAGCCGTCAGTCACGTCCCTCTCCTAAAAGGTGTGTGCAACGTTTGCCTGCCCTGAGCTCACATTGCCAGAGGCTTGCTCACGACAAGGCTGCCTGAACCAGTACTTCAGCTTGCTGCCACCTATCGAGTCCTTCTGCTTGGGAAATGGCCTGGACCTTTGCTGTGAACTGATCTACAAAGCACCGCTGCTTCTCCCCCCGCCTCCTTCCCCCTTTAGTTTAATCCCGGATGTCCTGGCATACCTGCCAGACCCTTACGCTTCGGTTTTGTGTCCCTTGCATGGTGCTGGCTTGTCCCCAATCATGCTTTGTTCACCAGTTTTTGTTTTGATTTCCTTGGATCTGTGGGGTGGGCACCTTAACTCACACCTGGCACCTTCCCTGCGAAGACGAAGAGCTTGGAGATGGACCGTGTTCTGGGACGTTGGAGTGGGGCTAACCTGGCGCACGCTGCAGCTTGTTCCGGCGAGACACGTGCCATCTGGTTTGCATGTGTCCACTGTCTGGTCCAATAATTCTTTGTATTGGCTTTACTAAACAGGAGGGGAGAGGAAAAAGGCAAGTGAGATGGCAGGTCTGACCATGGGAAAGGCCCCACATTGGTCCTGTTTCTTGAACTTTTCCCTTAAATATCCACTACTGACTGCTGTCGGAGGCAAGGTCTGCAGCTAGGTGGACCTTTGCCCACTACAGGGCATGTCTGATGCTCTTACAAAGCATCCTGCTCCGATCCCAGTTCAGGATGGTGTGTTCCCTGGGTGGTTCAACATGATGGCTGTCTCTGGGGTGTTCTGCAGGAGCTGTGGGTCTGCGTAGAGGCCTGGCTCTTGGGCACATCTGGCAGCGTGTGTGTTGCTGGGCTGGGAGGGCAGTCGGACCCTGGAGCTGCTGTGTTCATGCAGCAATCTCAGTCTTAGCTGTCTTGGGTGAAGGTCTGAGGTCACTGCTCAATGCACAAGCATCCCTGCCAGCAGAGCAGCTCTTAGACCTTTCCTTTCTCCACGAGCTATTTTCCACCTTTACTGGGGTCAGAGGGATGTCGCTAGGGGCCCTGCTCAGTGGCCAAATGCCAAATGCAGGTTCTGCACTGAATTGTGTTAGTAAGGTGGGGCAGCAGGACACGCAGTAAAACCCAGTGGTGTCTCACCGTGTTGTACCTCGGCTCTGGCTGTCCGGGGCCTGGCCTGGGAGAAGCTCTGCCTTTCACCCCAGTGCTGCTTCCCAAAAGCTGGCTTGGCTGCTCCCATTAGCCTGGAAATGCTGCTCTGGTTTGCGGCAGAGAGACTGTGCTCTTGCTGCGCAGGGTTCACGAAGGAATTGTTGATGTAGCTTTTTCCATTGGAGCTAAAGCTCATAACATATTTCTCGTTGTTCACTACCTAATAAGCCTGTGGGAAGCTTCGCACGTGTGCTGCAGGGCATTGGCATGGCTTGCGATAGCTAGCAGCGGAGCCTGAAAATGATGGCGGGCTGGGGATGCATTGCCCAGAGTCAACCAGTTTCTGATTCAGTTGGAGGAATTTCTTTAATTATTTAATGGTATTTTCCTTCAAAGACAGAGATACTTCATGGCTGTTGGGCCCCAGCCTTGCTCCAGTCTGTAGTTTAACTGAATTTGGGAAAGGTAGTGCATCCAGAAGTGGCTGCTGGGATGGGTCAGGGTCATCAGTTCTGGATTAACAACATTGTGCACGTCACTGGGGAAGGGCTGACCCCCCCCCAGGCAAGGTTCCAAAACACTGGGGAGAATATCAGCAGTTTTTCCTCCCAGATTAGGGAGGAATTAGCTGAAGACTGAGAAAAGGGTCTTTATTATGAGTGCCTTATAGTGCAAACATTGCTTCCTCCCCGTTTCTAATCTCCTAATTATCAATACTGCAGTCTGTTGTGCTTGCAGACTAATGGGACAAAACACTGAAATATTGTCAGAGTCACTCTAAGCTTGATGCAAATCAAGCAGGACAAGAGCTAAAGCATTAAGTCCCTGCAGGGTCTGACCCAGCTCGAAGGCGCGCTGTCTGCTGGGGAGGCAGAAAGCGGTGGGTCAGGGGAGGTGGGCAGTAACAGCAGCCGGCTATAAAAGTGCTCTGCAAAGCTAACAGTGACACTGAATGACAGCTTCAGATGAGATCATGGGCAACTTGGTGCTGCTGGGATTGGGGCATCCGTCAATTTTAGTCTTTATATATGAGGTTGTTAGAGCCAATAGGTGTTTTAGAGAGGAAGACTCATGTTTAGGGTTGAAGAGAACTGTTCTGTCCTAAACTGAATCGATACTACTGGAACTGAGTGCAAATCTGGGCAAAATAGTCTCACACAGACCTTGTTGCGTGTGTCTGATGCTCCAGTGATGACTAATGCACTGTTGCCTGTGCACAGGATAATCTGTTAACCCAGGAAGAATGTGTTTATGGTGTGGAAGTATTTCTGCAAGAAAGGAGTGGGGCTGTAATATTTCTAAGAATACTATTTGATTTAAAGGAGAGCAGGAACATGGAACAGCCACCCAGCCTGCATGGTGCTGTAGCGCAGGTATCGTCATCTCCAGAGCTTAATGACCTGTCCCAAGAAGTGTAACTGTGTGTGTTTCCATTTGTCAGGTCGTATTAACAGCAAAGACAAGGAGGGCACTGAAGATGATGTAAAGAAACCGAAGGTAAGCGAAGAAATAAAACCCGAGGTGATGTCAGCCCAGTAAGTGCTGTGCACCTTCCTGACTCCCTCTCCTGCCCTCCTGGACTGCAGTTGTGCCTCTTAGGAAACCTTGCCATTATCTTCCATTCTTCCCTCTGTCTTTCAGAGTGTTTTTGTTTATTATTCCCTCACCCTGGTTTGGATGGTGCAATCCATGGTGATCTTTGAGGGCGAGGAAGGGAACCAAATCTAAACCAAACGTGTGGCTCAGGGGGGTGGGTGGGTGGTTAGAAAAATAATTTTCTCAGCCTGAGACTGGAAAGCAGACGGCTGGCTTTTCTGGGGCCAGCCAGTGCGAAAGCAAACTCCAAACTGCGTTGGGCTGTATGGGAGACAAGCACCCTAACAGTGAAAAGAGCAAAAGATGTAATTAAAAAATTAAATTGAACAATCTAGGCCTTGCAGATGCAGTGTTCTGGGTGAGGAGCAGAGTTTGATAGTAGGTAAATTCCAGACATCTGTCACACTGCTAACTTGGAGGAGGTTTAGCTCAGCTGGCCATTACCATAGCTAGTGCCTGGGTGTGATAGTGGACAAGATGATGGGCAGTTTAGTGGGTGAAGAATTAAACATGAGGGATATAATTATTTTCAAACAATATGAAATCGGGTCTTTCTCTAGTGAGGTTTGGCAGGGTTGTATCAGGCTAGGCATATGACATGATACCAAGCAGTCGTCTAGATAAAAACCATCAATCCGTTATTGATAAAGCAGGTATGATGGGGTTGAGAGACCTGGGAGCAGCCATCTGCATCTCCCAAAAAGGCTGATGTTGATAGTGCTGGACCTGCAGCATCTTTGCCAGTGGGGCACATAGAGAGTTTGGGAGTAGACAGAGCAGTTCAGATGGTAAAACGTGCCACTGGTGTGGAGGGCGGTGGCAAGGGCAGGCTGTCACGGGGTGACGCTTTCTTCAGAAAGGGGTTTGGGTGTTGCTGCACCCTGTGGAGGAGTAGAGCTGAGGTATTGCATGCTTGCCGGTGCAGTCCTGGGACCCTGGCAGTACCCTGGGCCCCTCAGCTCTTGCCCAGCTCTGTGTTGCAGGGAGAAGGCAGTGCCAGCCATCACATATCCCACACCCAGTTCTGCATTGCACCTTCTAATCCTATTTAGTATTGGTGATCCCCTTTTGTTTCCCTCCCATACTGATTTTTTTTTTTTTGTTCCAATTTTTATTTTGTTTCCATGTTTAAGAAATCCTCACCTTCCACTGCCAAACCCCCAGGCGATAGACCCTCCATCCCTCCCCAACGACACACTTCCTCTAGCACAACCCCTTCAAAAACACCCTCCAGCCCTGCTTCCACCTCTAAAAGAGTCTCTTCTGTCACATCCCGATCTGCCAGTACAGGAAGGCACGAAACAAAAGCCAAGGTAAGGAAATAGGATGTGAGAGAGGCAAAGCTGCCTTGGGGAGTACCTCAGAGCATTCCTGACAGGTCTGATGGTGCTTGGCTGGGCAGTCTGTCCGTGTCCCGTTCAGTGGAGAGGGTGGGATGCTTCTCCTTCACCTTCCAGTGGCCATGGCCAGACTTGGCTCCAGTTTTGGTGTTTGAAGCACCTGGGTCTGTCTCACCAGCCCGTAGGCCTCTTGCTCTGTGTTACAGGAAAAATATCGCATTGCTGCAGGGCGTTACCTGGTCTCCCTGAGGTGTCTCCAGGTCCCTTCATGCTCTTCTGTGCGCTTTGTTTTGCAGCTTTATGGTGTGTTTTATGGGTGCATTGGCTGTAAACAGCAGATGTATGTGAAATGTGCCAGAGCCAGATCTGCCAGGTGCTACAGAGAGAATAGGAAATGCATGCACGACCGTGGCTTATTCTGCCACATAAAAAGTGGCTTAGAGTTTCCCTTTGTGGTGTTTAGTCACAGAAATGCACCCACGGTGAGGGAAACACCAGAGATCGCAGGCTGCAGGCAGTGGGATGCAGTTTTACCATGACAGGGATTGCAATAGCTCTGCTCTGGTTCCCTGCTGCCTTGGGACCAGTCAGCTTGTAAATTTTCACTTGGGTGTTTTTCATGAGCTTTAGTACCCAGACCAGCATTAGGAAGTTGTCAGAAAGAGGATGCGTTAGTTTATAGATTTGGGGAGGGTTTTCTGCAGGATGAGAAGACAATAAATAGTATATTGCTGTTTACATGCCATTACAGATTATGTAGATGTTACAGTAGTGCATTACAGGTGGGGATAAAGAAGGTGCTTCTCTGTGTTTGGAGTCTGGCACTGCGCTCCTGAAGGGAGCCTCTGGTCTAGTCAATGGATTTATTTATCGACCTTCTGTACAAAATGTTAGCAGAACAGGGGAAACAAAACGATGACGTTTAGAGAACAGACAAAGGAGTTGAACATACCTTTTAACCAGGCCTGAGGGTGTGGTGAGTAACATAGCTGAAGCCAAGGGCTCGCGTGGGAAAGGGGTGCAGCTGCTCTGCCAGCCCAGGAGCGGCTGAGCAGGGGTTGCAGCAGGCTCTGTGATGGGAAACAGGGTGTGAGAAGGAATGTCGCAGATGCCTGCAGGTGGGGAAACCCATGGGAGCTCCTGCGGGCTGTCAGGGTAGGGAGCAGGAGGGTCTCGTGTGGCTCTGACCCGTGAGGGGTGATAGCCCATCCCCGGGCAGATCCCCCCCTGCATCAGCCTTTCCCCCTTGCATCCCCAGGGCCCAGAGATGAGAGGTGGCACAAAGACGGCCACGCCACGGTCTGCAGGCGGGCAGGCTCAGAGGAACTCAACCAATGCCACGCGCATCCCAGCAAAGACGCCCACGGCCCCCAAGACACCTCCCAGCTCTGGTAGGTGATGGCGAGAGCGGCACGCAGCCACCTTCCCATGGGGGGCTCTGCTTTGGTGGCGCTCCCAGGCGCTCCTTGCAATTAGGTGGGGGTAGTGAACAAATTTGCCCCAGTGCAGGCTGGGGTCATGCCCAGTGCTAAGCAAGGGTATGGCCAGCAGGTTGAGGTCTGGCTGGTGATTTGGAACTGCTCGGCCTTGTCGCAGGGCTGTGGGTGCAGAGCTAGGGATGGTTCCTCTGAAGGGAGCCTTTCTGGATGCTGCTTTATCTGCTCTGTTCATGTAGTTGCCAGTGTGCGGGAGAGGGCAGTTGCTTTTATCCCTTTGGGATTTCATTTCCTGCAATTTGGAAGATTTAGGCAGCTCCATGTTTTTTAATCGGTCTATTTTTTTCTCTTGACAATATTTCACAAAAAACAGGGGCAAGAGGACCAATTCTTTGATTGCAGGAATGGAGACTAGCCCATTATTCTCAAAGAAGAAAACCCCAGAAAGCATCAGGCATTTCACTGAATATATATGTATTCTTCATACTTAACCAGAGCTGCATAGAACCTTAAATCAATTAAGTTTCCAGCTTTATTATGTTTAAACATCTTTCTCATTCATTAAACAGGCAGAAAGGAGCAGAAAAAACCACCTCCTGCAGCAGCAAAGTCTGAGAAAGGTGATGTTTAACGTTTTTCTTCTCTTCTTCCATTTCTTTTCAGACTGGGGACAGTTCTGAGCTGCTCAGTGATTAGCCTTACTTAATTACATAAGTAATGCTTCCAAATTTTTAATAGAAAAGTGATTTTGTTTGAGTGTCTTTTGTCTGTAATTTGTCATGCATGCTAATGTCATGCTCGGGTGGGGAGCCTTACCAACGATCCAGACAATGAAGACCATCTTCCTTCTGAGATACTAGGAAATTGCCTTTAATCACAGTTTTTACTTCAAACTGCAGTAGAAGAAAGTACATCCATCTCTCCCCTGCTGATGGTCTGCACTAGGAGTAGCGGGTGGGCCCTGGGACCAGGCAGGTCAAGCCGTAAAGGCAGGCAATGTGTGGGGAAGGGGCTGCATACCCAGATTGCTTATCCTGTGCTTGCCTCCCTCTCTCTGCAAACTTCAGGTGAGCAGCCAAAGTCTGGAGACAGAAGCGGTTACAGCAGTCCCGGCTCCCCCGGGACTCCAGGCAGCCGTTCCCGCACTCCCTCTCTGCCCACCCCACCAGCCAGGGAGCCCAAGAAGGTGGCAGTGGTTCGCACACCACCGAAATCTCCTGCGTCTGCCAAGAGCCGCATCCAGCCGTCAGCCGCACCCATGCCTGATCTGAAAAATGTGAAGTCCAAAATTGGCTCAACTGAAAACCTGAAGCACCAGCCCGGAGGTGGCAAGGTAAGCGTGGACTCTGCTTCCCAGGGGCCTGTCTGTAGGGACAGCAGGTGCTTGGCGCTGCATCTGGGAAGGGGAGAGCCCTCCCTGGATCAGTGGCAGCCCAGCTGGGGCCAGAGATACAGCAGTGGGCAGCTGTGCTTCAGCTGATCTCCAGCCTGATTCTGATTTTGGAGTTTTGGGGGCTGATTGGGTTGGGTGCTTGTCCTGAAATTGCTTTCCTGGCTTAGTGCAGTACAGCTGTCCCGCAGAGAGGACTGCAGAGAGCTTGTGATGTGGCTTTCGTGGGGTGGCATGTCAACGTATGGACTGGCTGCCAGGGGAATGGCAGTCCCTTGTGGTGTCCAGTTAGGGAGAGCAAATTGTGACCTGCAGCCCTAAAGAGTCGTAGGATCAGGGTTGTGTTTCTGAATCCTGTACTGCGTGGTCTGGTGCAGTCCCTTCAGCGCTGCCTCCATTTCTTCATTAGCAAGCAGACAGGATGGTCTCCTCCCCGTGAGGGTCCCAGGCTCGGCATGTTTTTCAGAACGTTGTGATACTGGATCCAACTCTGTTGGCAAGGTTTTGGATTGCATTCTGCGATCAGGCACTGTCCTGCTACACGATGCAGTGTGGCATGGCCAGAACTGGTGGCACCATTATCCTTTCAACCGCTAGTACTTTTCACTCGCGGAGAGGCTGTTCCATGAGCATGCTTGGGAACAAGGGTCTCGTGTTAAATTTTGCAAGCCCAGCAGAGGAGAGTTTGGGTGAGGGAGTGGTGTGAACTAATCCATCCGTGCACCCCCAAGAGCAGCGGTGTGTGGTGACATGGCTCCAGCTGCTGAGCTGGTGCTGGCTGCTCAGCACCCATCCAAGCCTCTCTGCGCTGCTCCATTGCACTGCGTGGACGTGTCCTGAGGCTTTTGTAAAATTCTCCTTGCTGCATGGGTGCAGACGTGAAAGCACCTGGTTCCTCTGACCGGTGAAGGCCCGGTGGCTCTTACACAGATGTTAAATGACAGACTGCACATCTGGTGGCCAGTGCAGTCAGGAGTCCTCATGTGCTTGTGCTTGCCTGCCCCGAGGGGCAACACTGCCTTGAAGACCTTGCTCTGCAGCTGCTAATGCAAGAGAGCCATGACAAATCTTCCCTGAGTGCAGTGCATGCCATTTTGTGTGACTGGGCAACTCCATGGTCCTGAATGTTCGACTGCGGCATGGAGAGAGGCTTTGCGATGGCTTCTCTTCACCATCTTGAACAGCAGCGTGATTTTCCGTTCCCTTATGTGCATTTTTTGCCATGGATGGCAATTTACTGGCCAATGCACATTTTTCTTTGTACTACAATCCAGGGGGGCTCTGGAACCTGGGCAGGGCTGCTCTCGCCACTGGTCACGAGCAGAGCAGCACGAGTCCTTCCAGCTGCCCATGGGGCCTCACCCCTCCTGCCTGCTTAGCACAAAGAGCAAGTCTCTCCTGCCACCCCCACAAAACACTGCTTTTCAGGGATTTTAGAAGGAACCCTTCCATTTACTGTAGATGGGTTAAATTGTTTGCTTGTTCTTTTTTATTGAGCTTTTACAGGTTTGGTTTTTTTCTGCCAGCTTCTCTCCCACGCAACGTGTTGTTTATTGTTGTCACCAAAAGAGTAAGAACAGCTGAATTTGGGACGATTCATTGCTCTTTGCAGGGGAGAATGTCTGGATGCTCTATGGGGGATTTTGTAGGACGTGAGGCTGCTCTTAGCGGAACGTTTGAAGCGGGGGCAGAAGGGGCTGATCCAATGAGTTTGATTTTTAGGGCGGCCAGAAGATGAGCCTGGAGCCTGCTCTCCATGCAGATTTCAGACTCCCAGCCTAGGGGAGTAAAGGTACATGGGACAGACGTACCAGGAGTCAGCCAGGCCAGATCTCTTCCAGTATTTCTGTGCTGTCTGAGCACTCTTATTGTTGGTGGATCACTGAGTGCTGCTCTGGAAAAGCCTGGTCTAGCAGAACTGGATCCTGATTTGCAGGATTAGTTGATGTGAATTTCAAAAATTATGCTGGAAGCACGTGTCAGCCTTGGTGCTTCTCATGCTAAAGAAGCAGGGTACAGCAAGGAGCTCTCCTTGCAAACGCAGGCCAGGGACATGGTGAGACGGAGGGCGAGGGTGCCTGCTCAGCCAGCTTCATGGGTGTCGCCATACAGGGACTGCGTGTGCAGTGTGATGTGATGCTGCTTTCTTGCAGGATGCTGTGTCTCTTTTCCTCTCACGAAGGCTGTGCTTCAGACAGGCTTTCTGCAGAGGGACCCCAGGCCTCTGTGCCTGCTGGTTTTCACCTGCATTTGTCTCTGGTTCATACTTGCCCAGGTTGTGAAGCCACTCCAGTCCCTGTAGGGGAAGGAGCAGGGACTATCTTCACCTTCGTCTTGTCTGGAATAGCTGCTCCTACACGCAGGGTCACTCCAGCATAGCTGCCCTTATAAACCCAAATAGGGAAAGCAAGTCCTAAAGGGAAACAGCTTAATTAATTAGTACAAAGATCTGTGTCTGTGGGGAGAGGGCAGATAGGCTTTGGGACTGGAGGTGAAGTTAGCATGATTCTCCTGTGGCACCAAGCCATTTCCAGCCTCTCCCACCCGAGATGGCGTTAGGAATATGCAGGAGAGCAGCTGCCTTTGGGGTTAGTCTGTTGCTGCCCCTTTCGTCTCATCTATACAGGAGAAAACTGCAGGCAGGGGACTGCATCCCTGGCAGCATTTGCTTTTTCTCTTTGTAACTGTAGAGGGAGTTTGAGCCCTGCACAGCGCAGAATTCAGGCGTCCTCTCTCAGACAGCGCCGGACACGCAGCTCCTGCTCTCCAGCCCGGTTTGCTCAAGCTGCTGAAATGTGAGGCCGCTGTCTTAGAGAGGGGACATGGTGCCCAGCATGGGAGATGGGGCTGAGCAGTCATTTTCTCTCAGCTCCATCCTTCCTTCTTCCACTGGCTCTGCAGAAGCTAAGTCTCAGACCACTGGTGCCTTCCAGTGTGTGTGCTGCCCAGCAAGTTCCCCATTTTGTTCAGTCAAGGAAAACGGTGTTGGCTGGCTTTCTTGGTAGTGTTTCTGGCCTGGAAATCGGGGCTGCCTTGCTAGCCATATGTATCCAACCTCTAGCTGTAACCTGCCCATCTCCGTCTTCAGTTTCCAGCCCATGAGTAGACAAATCTATGCAGCAAGCCAGAGATTCTCCTTTGCTCTTGGCACTGGAAGGCAGGTTCCTGGCTTTAGTGATATAACGCATGGTCAAGCTGCAGATGGTCATGTTGTTTCTCACACTCTTTTCTGGCTACCAAAGGTGCAGATTATTAATAAGAAGCTGGACTTTAGCAGCGTTCAATCCAAGTGTGGCTCAAAGGATAATATCAAACACATCCCGGGAGGAGGCAGTGTGAGTACCTTCACACTTTCAATGCACTATAATAGTTCTTATAATAAGTGGCATGTTGTATACACTAAACTGCCAATGCTATCTGCAGCGACCCTGCCATCAGATAGCTATTGGTGACGTGCAATGACTCTTTTCTGGCTACCAAAGGTGCAGATTGTTAATAAGAAGTTGGACTTTAGCAGCGTTCAATCCAGGTGTGGCTCAAAGGATAATATCAAACACATCCCGGGAGGAGGCAGTGTGAGTACCTTCACACTTTGAATGCACTGTAATAATCCTTATTATTAGTAGCATGTTGTATACACTAAATCGCCAATGCTATCTGCAGCGACCCTGTTGTCAGATAGCGATTGGTGACGTGCTGTCATTTAACCCCATTAACCCAAAAGACATGGTTAGATGAACCCTAACAAGTCCTGTACATGCCTACCATGAACAGAACTAACTGACCCGTGTAGAAACCATGTCTGTAACAAAACATCCCGTTAACCTGAAGGTTTCACACTACCTGGAAGGCTTAATGCCTCTTGTCTGCAGGATGGGCGGCCTCTAGCAGACAGTGGCATAGTTGCTGATGCAGTAGATGGATAGATTTATAAGCAAATGCAGTCCTCATTGCTTAGTGTACATGCATGTAATTGCACATGACTGCACAACATGTGAAAGCGCAGGTTCCTGCCCAATCCTATCAGGCAAGTATGATCCATGCAAATATTAAGCTTCTCCTTGCTGATGAATATGTCCGGTGTATGCTAGCAGTGCCCATGGAGGCTGAGCCTAAAGTAATAACTGAGTTAATTGATTTGAATGCTGGCATTTCCAGCCATTCCCAGATAAATAGCTGGACTCAGCTTTCAGTTACTGTGCCAGAAACCCGCAGAATCTCCACAGAGCTTGGCAGATTGACACCAGTCTCTCTGGAGACAGAGTGTGGGTCCAGGAAAGATGACGGACCAAGGAAGGAGCCATCACCGAGACCCCAAATGGTGCGACCCAGAGTCTGCGGTTGGCTGGTCTGCAGCCATCTGAGGAAGCTATCTGGTGCCCCTCAGATGTTGCTGATGGATTTTCTTTGCACTGTCTTTGATCTCTGAGGACGCCCTCCCTGAGAAACTGAGCATTGCAGGGGCTTGGCACGTAAGCACTGGGACATAACTGGGTTTGCAACCTCCGTCTTAAATTTGATGTCATTCTGCATTTATTTAATGGGTCAGAGGAGCTGCTTTGCGGAGGTCAGACCTCTCTGAAGCAGGTTCCGTGCTTGTTCTGCTCTTTCTTACCCCAGGGTCCTGCACGGGCTGGACTGCCTGGTGTGTGGAGGACCACTTGTTATACCAGGAGTTAGTGTTCGTCACGAATCATCTGTGCTGTGGCTGGTAATTAGCTTCAGCACAGGGTGGTGAGCTCATCCTTCCTCCACCAGGAGTTCACACCATGGTCAAGCGTTTGCAGCTGCAAGTGGCTGCAGAATTGTCTGGATTTTTGGCTGGAGGTTGTAATCCCTCCCCAGGCTCTGCCAGCAGTGAAAATCATGTGATCGCTGCCGGCTGTGTTGACACAGAAAGCAGCAGCTTAGCTCTGGGTGCGGGTGCTCAGAGCAAAGCCATGCGCTGACGTGGCCAGAGCGTGGCCGCACAGGCTGTCCTGGTGGCAGAGCTGTGCCGTGGAGCTCCTCCCATAAGTAGGGCAACAAGAGACCACCGGGGTGTGATGGCTGTCATGTCTTAATCCTCCATGATGCTGTCAGCAGTGACTGCCTGCCCAGCCATTGCTGCTTCAAGAGGAGTGAACGTTGCTGCAGTAGCCTGGGATTGGCACCTCTTTGTTAAGCCAGGCGATGCGTTAGATGAAAGTTGACCTAAGCATTGCTGATGCTGAGAGGTGGGATCCCCAGGTCTCTGGCACCGGTTTCCCAGGCAAGCAACTCTGACCCTTTTCCTTTCTTGCTAAAATGGGGAGGACCCTTCTCTGTTCCCTGGCAGGATGGTAAGGGTTAATCAAGGCCTGTCTGTAAAAAAAGGGATCTGGAATGAGAGCAGAAAGTGTTTCAGTTGCTGATTGCTTGCTCTGGAAACGGGAGGGCTTTCAGTCCCGGGTCCCACTGGTGCCCAAATTGCTCATAGCCCTTTCGGGGGTCACAGCTGGGATTAGCAAGGCGCCAGCTGTCCGTTTGGGGTCTGCTTCCTGCCTTCCGACTGCTGCCCAGTGCATTAAACGTGTGATCCTTCCCCAGTGCTGTCGTCATGTCTGTGTCTGCGATGTGCTCCCAGACCCTAGGATTGCTTCTCTCTCCTCACTCTGTCTTTACTCTCTGTCAAATGTGCCTTTTGGTATGCGTGAGCATCGGAGACAAGGCAGGCCCGTGTGCAGGACGCTTGGGCTCTGGGATGGAGGGAGGGTGGCACCAAGTCTCTGTTCCCCCCCTCCTTTTCCTGGCTGCATGATGGAGGGGGGGGTGTTATTTCTCACTCGTGTGCACAACCATGGTCCAACACCAGCTCTGAGGGTGATGGGGCTGGTGGATGTGGGGCCAATGTGAAGGAACTGAAGGATGGACCTTCACCCTAGGGTGGTCAGGTTGATGAAGAGCAGTGGCTACGGTAAATCCTTTGTGCTGGCCTTTGGCCACGTTGGTCCAGAGGCTGCCTGGCTGCTTGGAGGAGTCGGCTCCTCTGCAAAGGTCCCTTTGGTGCCGGCACATCCTTCCTCAGATTTGTGAGAGCGGCACGCCTGCCGTGGTGCTTGGTGAAAGCACAGAGATAAGCGTATGCTTGCCTTGAAATCCAGGCTATAACTGAGTGCCAGACTCTTCCCAGTGAGTAGGAACCAACCCTGAGGTGCTGATGATCCAATTTCTCCTGCACAGCCCCACTAACTACAGCAATAGCTGATTCACACAGGGCTGTGAGCCCCAAACCAGGGTCCAAGTTAACTTCTGGGGGTATGGGGATGCTTTCTCACCCCCTTGTCTCCTGCTCCTGCTGTAGCTGGTGTGTATGTGCTGTGGCTTGCTGTCCCTGACACGCCTGATGGTCCCAGACCTCTCCAGTCGTTGGTGTGTAACTGCTAACGTCACCCCAAACAGCTCCACATTAACTGTTCCTTGTGTGTGCGTCTCGTGTAACCCGGTCGTCCGTGCGCAAGAGGCCGCCGGCCCCGCGCCCAGGCCTGCCACAGCGTGGTGGCTCGGCTCTGAATGGGGCGGGCTACGTGGGATGGGGGCCCCGGTTCGAG